AGAATGAAGATTGTGTGAATAGACTGCTGGATGAGATATAAAACGTGGTTTGGCCCGGCAGGGTTCTTTTATGAAAGCAAGTGAAGGAAATGGGACAGAGGACAAGTCACCTTGACAGAACAGCTGGTGTAGCAGCAACTAACTGTAGCCCTTTTTTACCTCTGCTGTAGCAGATGGACATCACCAAGAATCTCAGTGAAGCCTGTCCGTTTGTGTGCATGCTTCCATTCTGGGTCAATAATCCATTGGATTTCCCCCCCTTTTATCCTAAGGGGGGAAAAAAGTCCCAAAAGGCAACCTCCAGACATGAACAGTAGATCGCTCTGGGAATTCATGAATATTTCATCATCTGTAAAGTGGTTGATGCGAGACAGCATGCTTTTCTAACTCTCGCATCATGCAACACATTAATGCAGCCGTGGCACTACGGCAGATGGGCTATGAATGGGTAGGGAATCTTCCTCACTCCTCAAAGCATGACACGGTGGTGGTTTGGTTTCGCTTTTTTAGCAAGGAAAGAAAAGCTTTTTCAGTGTGTGTACGTGGCAGACTGTTGCCCAGTAGCCAGAGATCTCCTAGATACACTTATTAAGTTTATTCTCATGGCTTCTTCAGTTACATATAAATGGAACTCTTTCCCACACCATGTACAACATGCTTTTCCCTTTCAAATTGGTTCCCAAAACCCACCCTGGTCATGATGCAACTGACCGAGTCCACAAGTCCCCGCTTTCAAGTGGCATGAAGCCTAAGCACATGTTGCCACATTGGTTCATCTGGAGATTGAGTCATGGCAACTTCCTTATTAGGCTGCAACGTTTCACTACTCATCCAAATAGCTTCTTCAGTCTGAGGAGAGTTGGTAGGAGACCCCTGATGTACCTTCCACGTTGGTTTTACTTCCCCCTGGTCTGAATAGGCTTGTTAGAAGGACAAAGGACTGGGGGGTGAGAGATAATCCTACTTCTGCAGTCCTTCTCCACCCACTGTCATGAGTTGTTAACAGTGGTCTTTCTGGTGGGTGTGATCCTGATCTTTCTGGGGATGGATAAAAGGCATCTAAGGAGCCTATTCAGATGTGGGGGGGGGAGAGAAACCAATGGGAAGGAGATATCCAGGGGTCGCCTACCAATTCTCCTCAGAATGAAGAAGCTACTTGAATGAGTATTGAAACACCTTTCAGCCTAATAAGAAAGAATTCTAGTTGCTGTGACTCAACTTCCAGATAACCTCACCTGGATTACTGAGAATGGTCCTCGCAATAAATACAGAATGGAAGCTCTCTGGGGCAGGGACCTGCCCTGTTTTGGTGCACTAATTTAAGCACCAGAAGATCTTACTAACTAACTGGACCCAGAGGTAGCCTGCCAGTAGTTGGCGGCAGGTGGGGGATGGTTCTCCCACGTAGCCCTGGAAGAAAACTACCTACAACTCTCAGGCAAGCTTTCCCCTCAACGTACATCTGGTTTTTACCTGAGCGGGTGTAAGACTCATGGCAAGTGTTTGTTATTTCAGCCGCTAATTCCATGTAGTGATGCTTCTGCTCTTCTGCTGCGTGCTCTGCTCCGAGAGCGATCATGCCGCCCGAGAAACAGGCCAGATGGCCCATCTTGTGATCCAAGATGCCTCCTCGCCACTCTGCAATATAGGTCAGTCCACCGGCTGACTTTTTCACAAGGTGCTTCTCTATAGCCTGAGCATGACAGCATTAGGAAAGAAGGAAATGTGCATTATTGGAGGGGAGACAAAAGGCAGATAAATACGATTCCACCTGAGCAGCACGGCATCATGTATATATTGGGTACCAGTTGTTTGAAAGACCACATCTCCACCTATGAGCCTCCCTAGACTTTAAGATCTTCAGGAGAGGCCCCTTCTCTTGCTCCCAGGCAAGGACACAAGAGGGGTGGAATTCCTTTGGAAGGGATGTTAAGCTCCCTGCACCTCCTCCTTCCATCAGCAGGCAAGACCCTTCTTTTCAGACATTATTTGGGCAGCTAAATGGACCACAGAGAAAGTTATCTTTCAATGCAGGCTGCTGCACATACTTTTTATGGATGTGTTTTTAAAATGCTTTCAGTTCTTTTAAGTTAGTGGTGTTCTGATGTTATTACGTCCCTTATCCTTTGCAGTACCTACACATCTCGGGACTCCAGCAGTGGAAGCTGCTGGTGTCGTAATCTGACAAGGCGCCAGTCATGCTTGAACTAGGCATACAACCAGCACCTCATCAAAATGCCACAATTATGTCCGCAATCAGAGTTATGTGCATGTAAACACTGAATAGGAAATGGAACTGTATGTTGAATTGCATTTCAATATTATAATATAGTGTACCTTTAAAAACAACAACACACACATACACATTTTGTAAGCTGCCTTGGATTCCTTCATTGTGAGAAAGGTGAGATACAAATGAAATAAATGCATAGACAGTTCCAATGCCTGCTGATGGAGGAAATCCATCACCATTACTAGGATTTCCCGGACAAGGTGGTCTTCTAGCCTCAACTCAAAACTGTCCTCATTTGTCCTAAACTTACTTAACCATCTTTTAAAAAATACCAATCTAAAGCCATCTGCAATAGAAAAATTAGAGTTTTAGAGCAAACCACCAGGGGGAGTTGTCAAATTTATAGTGTTTATAGAACTTTTCCTTTAACATCTTCTCAGACCATTTATTCCCTCATGATTATTAGCAGCCTTGGTGAGCCAAACCATCATAATACCATCTTACCAAGAGGAAGAAATGAACAGATGTCACGAATTTAAAAGTGGCCACAGCAGGTTCCTCATCGCCAGCAGGAGCCCGGCTCCGCCACTCGCATTAGGGACGTTCAGCTCAATGGGCCAAACACGGGGTCAACTGACTGTTTTTCTTCCCTCGCCATCAGGCAGGCGGATTTGCTTTTCAAAGTATGCCTGGACTGTTGTTTGTACACCCGCCCTTCATATTACAAAAGCAACCCATTAAAGCCGAAACTCCAACTACAAGCAAAACGATGCCGAGAAACATACTGAAAACAGCTGCAAGACTATAGGGGGATGCGTGGAGGTGTGTTTGTCACATCATAGGTGTTGCTAATCACAGGCGTCCTGCACAAAAGGCTTTCTCTTAGATGAAACTGAACTGAAAACCTAGCAAATGACATTAATAGGCTACTCCAGGAGCGACAGTTTTGAAAACGGTGGTTGCGTTTGGACATTAAGTCCAACCTTGGTTCACTGAAGCAAGAAGCAGCCCGGCGCACCTCCTGACGTGCGTTCTCTCCTCTTTGTCGTGGTTGTGTGAAATCTGGAAGCTTTTCCTGTCGTTATGGATTAACGGCGGCTTGGCACAGTGTTCCAGCCTAGCAAACTAGTTCATCTTCCACGGTTTCTTTGAAACAATCCAACTGCAACTCCTGTTTTACGAAGCTGATTTGTTTCAACCAAGCTGAGTTAGGAATATCCCCACCTTTTAGCATTCAGATGCAACATTAAATGGTGGTTAAGCAAAATCATTTGAACCTGAGATGGAAAACTTAGTAGGAAAGCATTATCGTTAACAGTTAATGAGCGATTACTGAGGCAGTCTTTTAGTTCACTAACTGTTGAGTAAACTGATAATTTTTTTCTACTTTCATCTGAGCTTGGAAAAGTTACTTTCTGGACTACCATTCCCAGTAACTTCCAACTAGATCACCATGTTGACTGGGGGATACTGGGAGCTGTAGTCAAACAAGTAGCTTTTCTAAGTTCTAGGGGATGCGGAAAACAACAGCCCAAATAGCTTTGTTCCAATCATGCTAAAAGGTAAAGGTAAAGGTTCCCTTTGACAATTTTTGTCCAGTCGTGTTCGACTCTAGGGGGTGGTGCTCATCCTCGTTTCCAAGCCACAGAGCCAGCGTTTTGTCTGAAGACAATCTTCCGTGGTCACATGGCCAGTGCGACTTAGACACGGAACGCTGTCACCTTCCCACCGAGGTGGTCCCTATTTATCTACTTGCATTTGCATGCTTTCGAACCACTAGGTTGGCGGGAGCTGGGACAAAGCAACGGGAGCTCCCTCCGGCGCGTGGATTCGATCTTACGACTGCTTGGTCTTCTGACCCTGCAGCACAGGCTTCTTCGGTTTAGCCCGCAGCGCCACCACGTCCCTCCAATCATGCTAAGCCATAGTTTATTATAAACCTGACATTCTGCTTTCATCTTAAGGCCCAAAGATAAGTGACTGCCCTGTTTGCCCTCAGGCTGACACGAGATCTGCATCTAAAACCTCACAGGGCTGGCCCTCTAACTGGTACACTAACTGCTGCTACTCAGTTTGGTATGATCCATTTTTTTCCAAAAAGCTTATCCACCAAAGACATGCAGCTTCATTTGACCTACCTCTAGTGCATTGTCATACATGAGTTTGGCTTCAGCATCCTTCTTGTCTGACATCAGCCATGACTTGATCAGGTATTCATAAAAACTATCCCCGAGGCCACCAATGGAAACATGATCTGTGATAGTGAGAAGAATAAAGTATCGCCTTGTGATTAGGGGTGTCACACAGTTAAAATTTTTTTTACTTAATTAGAAACAGCTGATTCAATCTGCACAGGAGTGTAAACCATTATGCTAAAGATAACACAGACTACATTTGGTCAAATGTGAACACATGTTACAGAAGATGCCCATTGGAAGAGGGCGCCATCTTGTGGGAGAATGCCTCTTCCCATAAAGTATCGCCTTGTGATTAGGGGTGTCACACAGTTAAAATTTTTTTTACTTAATTAGAAACAGCTGATTCAATCTGCACAGGAGTGTAAACCATTATGCTAAAGATAACACAGACTACATTTGGTCAAATGTGAACACATGTTACAGAAGATGCCCATTGGAAGAGGGCGCCATCTTGTGGGAGAATGCCTCTTCCCAGTGGAGAAAACACATGTTACAGAAGATGCCCATTGGAAAAGGGCACCATCTTGTGTGAAGGAGGTGGGAGAATGCCTCTTCCTAGTGGAGAATGCCTCTTCGAAGATGAGGCCTTCCTTCTGCTGATCTAAGGACATGGTTTCAGGGCACACGATGCTGCTCCGTTCCTTCAATGAGTCAAGACTAGGGCAGACACAGGATCCTCATAGACACCCCCTTGCTAGGGTTCTATTGATGGAAATGGTGGGACTATTCTAAATAAATCTGTTTCTACACACACGGACACCCTGGTTTTTGAGAGAGCTTTGAGGACTGAAACTGTTAGTGGAGGAAGTTTATCAAAAGATTTAAAGAGTTAAGGCAAGCATTCTAATTTCTAAACACTGCGTGATGATGCTAGCTGGAAGGTACTGAGAATGGTAGCTCAGAAGAGCAACTTTTCCAAACTTTTTCTCTGCTTTTGTTTGGGCCAATGGCTTTGGAAAGGGTTAAGCCACAAGAAAGGGAAAGGGGGAAAGAGTGAAGGCAAGAGGAGAAGGGGACGACAGAGGACGAGATGGTTGGACAGGGTCATCAAAGCCACCAAGATGAATTTGACCCAACTCTGGGAGGCAATGTAAGAGAGGAGGGCCTGGCGTGCTCCAGTCCATGGGGTCATGAAGAGTCAGACACAACTTAATGACTAAACAACAAAAAAGCCACAAGAACGTTTCGTTCCCTCGAGGATACTAAGCATATTGTGTTTGTTCTTTTTATATTACTGAGATCTGAATGTTTTACAGAGAAGCTGGGCCTTTCCAGTAGCCATTCCTTCTTCACTGAGCCTTCTGCTCAAGAACACTTGTTAGAGTTTATCTCCTATGGGTTTGTAGAGGCTGAGTAAATGCGACTAGTTAATGAAGTTTCTGAGGGCCCTGACTACACACGCTCTCTAGCCAGTTTTGTGTCTGACTGCATGATGGTGGGTTAATAACACAGCTTCATCGAGCAACTATAGTGTTTAGGACAGTTTAATTCTGTCTGTTATATTAAGTAAATTGGCATTCATAAAGCTTCTGGACTGGGCACAGATTAGGAAAGTGACAAAGCTATAACGGTATTTAGACCATACTTGACACAACACAGATGCGAAATCAAAATGATGCAGCAAACTAATATGAATGACGTGACAACAAAGGCTTTGTATGTAGCCCTGAAAAACCAAAGTGCTTTTAGATATGAGGCTTGAGTGGCAGTTTACTAAAGTCATTGCAAAACAATTAGCCAGTTCCCCAGCTCAGCAAGGTCACTGTACATAAAATTCATGACAGATTAATATTTATATGTTGCAATGTGTAACTATGGAGGTGGTGTATGCAAGTCCTATGGCTGTAATATTTTAGCATTCCTGGATCTTGGTGTCACAGTATCCTGGCATATCAAATGCTTTATGCTTCAGAACCTTAGTCCTCCAAGCTCTGCAGAATTTTAATCAAAATAATCAAGTTGTCATCACAGTGACAGCTTGTCAGATACTAAATTATAGTCTTGGAGTTAATAGTAGGTGCAAAAACAATAGAATTTCTTAATGAATTTTTTCCCTTGCAGTTCCAAGCTCTTGGAGAAAGGATTGTTTATAGTTAGAAGTGAAAGGTAAACAACTAAAATAATTATAAATATAAGGAGACAAGACACACATAGAACAATTTAACTCATAATTGCAAGACAACTTCATGCTATGCCACACAAACTGGATACCAACAACAATCATCTAACATTGCAGCAGGAAGTTTCATTTCCAGAAACTAGCAACAACAATCAATATGGATTTTCCTCCATGGAGTCAAATTGGATTGGTTGAATATTTTTGTGTGTTTGCATTTTTCATATGCCTAAAGGCATTTAACCTTTAAAATTATGTGTTTTGGAATATTCTCTGCTGTCTCAGTGTGCCTCTTTCATGCTATAAACTCCTTTATTTTTGGATTCAAATGTGATTTAAGTTCTAGTCTGTGACAAATAAAGCATTCTCCTTTTTAAAAAAACTCTTAAAATATTTTACTGTATTTTGGATTAAATATAGACCTAAGTATTTGCCTACAACTTAAGTTTCGTTTTCATATATATTTTAAGCAGTTTTTGCATAGCAGTAAGACTTTTGTAATTTTACAACAACTTTGAAGTATTTTTGTGGTGGAATAAAGAAGCAATGTTGAAATAAAGGTCGTAAAATTAGACAGCCTGACGTTGCCTGGAATTATTGCAGTAATAAAAAGACTTATACTTTGATACTCGGATGAATTTTGCTATGATTGGAAATGACGGTCTGGATTTCATTCTGGAATTAATCCTTAACTGGGATGCATGCCAACTGTGACGAACACAGGCTTCTGATTTTTTTCCCCCCTAAAGGTAAAGGTAAAAGTTCCCCTTGACAATTTTTGTCCAGTCGTGTTCGACTCTAGGGGGCGGTGCTCATCCCCGTTTCCAAGCCATAGAGCCAGCGTTTTGTCCGAAGACAATCTTCCATGGTCACATGGCCAGTGTGACTTACACACGGAACGCTGTTACCTTCCCACAGAGGTGGTCCCTATTTATCTACTTGCATTTGCATGCTTTCGAACCGCTAGGTTGGCGGGAGCTGGGACAAGCAACGGGCGCTCACTCCGCCGCGTGGATTCGATCTTATGACTGCTGGTCTTCTAACCCTGCAGCACAGGCTTCTGCGGTTTAGCCCACAGCGCCACCACGTCCCTAGGATTTTTTTCCCCCTAGAGGTCTGTAAAATTCTGTAGGGCTCTTGGGGAGAGGTTCAGGCATCGGAATCCCTGATTTGACACTTTGATCAGCAGAAACTATATAGATTGAGCAACCTTGCCTGATTTAACATATAGCTCACTCTGCTTCTGTCAGACGTTTCATCATTTATCTTATTTTTATGCTTCCTTTCTTCTACGGAGCGCAGGACAAACATACCCCATTTTATTGCAAGGGGCCAAAGCCACGTTACAAGAAATCAAGCTATTATTCCATCTAGATCCATTTCCCTGGACTGACCGACAGCTCCTATCCAAGATTTCCAACCACAGCCTTTCCCAGCCCTATCTAGAAATGCAGGGGATTGCATCTGGAACCTTCTGAGTGCAAAATGTGTCCTACCCATTATGCCATGTCCCTTCTCTCATACATCAAGCACCACCACAAAGCTATCAGGTTTTATTCCCAGTAGGCCAGAAGCTCAAATATATCTGCTCTCCCACAGAAAGGCTATGAAGGGAAGTGGCTGGAGAATGGGTAAGTGGCCCAAAATGCAAGCCAATGCAAATCTGATCCTGGATCTCTCTGATCAACGGTCTAACACTCTCATGACAAGCATCATAGCGCTAGACTGGGCACTGAAATCCCCTCCGAAGATTACTGAAAAATACTGTAATTTCTTGGCTCCAGAAAATTCACCAGGCATTGCCCAAGAGCTTTCAAGAATGCACGTGCAAGCTTTATTTCATGCATTTATTTATTTAAAATATTTTTATCCAAGCATTTCTCCTTTCAAAGGACTCACGCCGGCTTACATCATTAAAAAGACGATTGTTAAAAGCCAAAAAGAGCAAGTATACAAATATTCAAAAATAATTAAACAAACATTATAAGAAAAATGGGACAAGAATCTTGGTTGCTCTTTTTTCAACAGTAAAAAAATTAATAATAAATAAACAAACAATCCTCTTTTACCAGATTCCCAGACAACTTAATTTTGCATCCACTAACAAGGTTACAGATTCCATCCTGCACCTCTCCTTCCGAATGGCAGGTACAAACTGTACTGCGCCTTTTGCAAAATGCGCCACCATCAACCTGTTCCTTGCGCAGAGCAGAAAACAAAACTACAAGGAATATGACATGAGCACGGATGCCAGCCTAGCAGCAGACAAAACATGGGATTTGACTGCCTTGCAAGTTCAGAACCTCCAAGCAGCCGGCGGGGCCATGCAGATTTTGTAATTGTGCTTCTCCGCCTGGAGTGACATACCGGAGTCCTGTGGAGGCTTTTACAGCCTTAGCCGCTTGACGGGGAAGGTGGGCTGAGCTGGACACACAAAAAATGCAAGGTGTGGAGACGAGCTCCGAATACAGAATTAAATTGAGATTTTTCCAAGGCTACCTGTTCAGACTGAACTGCTCTAAACAACTCTCCTAGCCTGGGGGAGGAGAAAAAAAAATCTGCCCAAGAAAACGTTGGACAGATTTATAACGTGAAAGCACTGGGGGGGGGGAATTTATTTTATTTTACAGCTCAGCACAGATTCCTCAGGGCAGTTAAGGGTGTGCAAATCACCGTTCCCACCCACCCTCAAAGGAGAGACTGGAAATAAAAGAGAACAAAATTTATTTCCTCCCTCATTTATGGTTGGGATGTGAAAACACCTTTTTCTAAGCCCTCCCCACCTGTACATCAATAGACATGGCTTCTTCCTGGAATATGAGATTACTATGCCGGGTGTGTGTGTTGGATTACCCGATTTCTCTGTTTCTTACATGTTTTGAGGCTTATCAGAAATCTCAAAATCCTTTTCCGAAGAGATACAAGTTCTTGCTGCCTGTTTTTAGCCTTAGGCGCAGTCAGACCTAACAACTAGGCAGAGCTCAAGCGCACGCACGCACACACACACACACACACGCACAGAGAGAGAGAGAGAGAGAGAGGGAGAGAGAGAGAGAGACAGAGCATCTTACAATCAGAGGCAGAGAGAGAGAGAGAGAGAGAGCATCTTACAATCAGAAAAAAAAATCACTATTATGATCCCAACCAAGATGCCCGGAAGAATTGTATCATGTGGAATTTGTAGTTTGTTGTTCTCTTTGCAACAAGGATAGTTCAATGGGCCTGGAGCTCATTTTTCCCCCCTTCGTCAGACCTTGGAGGTCTTTTCCATTGCTCCAAAATAGCAAACCAGACCTCTGAAGCTGCTCTTGAAAGAATGGCCACATTTAAGCCTTCGAAGGCCTTTTGTTATTTTCAGTTCAGAAAAGGCCCAGATGGTGGAACTGAAATTATGTTGAAAGGGCATATTTTGCCCCTCTCGGGGGGGGGGCACAACGTGCAATTCTTCTGCGAAAAGGGCATATTTTGCCCCTCTCGGGGGGGTGGGGACAATGTGCAATTCTTTTGCAAATTCGGTAAAGGTAAAGGTAAGGGTTCCCCTTGACAATTTTTGTCCAGTCGTGTTCGACTCTAGGGGGCGGTGCTCATCCCCGTTTCCAAGCCATAGAGCCAGCGTTTTGTCCGAAGACAATCTTCCATGGTCACATGGCCAGTGCGACTTAGACACGGAACGATATTACCTTCCCACCGAGGTGGTCCCTATTAATCTATCCGCATTTGCATGTTTTCGAACCGCTAGGTTGGCGGGAGCTGGGACAAGTGACGGGCGCTTACTCCGTCGCGTGGATTCGATCTTATGACTGCTTGGTCTTCTGACCCTGGAGCACAGGCTTCTGCGGTTTAGCCCACAGCGCCACCACGTCCCTCTGCAAATTCGGGGGTGGCATCTTTTGGGGTCCCTAAGGAGCCACTAAGCAGCACTCTGGCCTACAACCAGGATCATAAACCAGGGTCTGCTTTTCTACAAATGACCCACTTTGCTCCTCATCTCTCTTCCCTCTGTGGCTTAGTAAAAAAAAAAAAGAAAAAAAAAGAAAAAAAAGGCTTCTCTCATCCTTCTCTCCCGCTTCCCTTAGCAGCCTCCTTTCATAGAAGTTGGCCTCTTATAATTCTCCGTCTCACAGACATATTTAAAAAACGAAAAGAGCACTGAATCTAGATGGCACCCACCAGAGAGTTCTTAAAGAACTCAAATGTGAAGCTGTTGATCAGAGAGCAGTCCCAATGAGACTTTTCTCACGAGGAAGGAATGTAAACTCGGTGCCCCGAGAATCCACAGTGAGGCCAGTGATTATAGATGCTTAAGCATGAGTTGGAGTTAAAGGATGGGCATGAGGTGGTCATGTCTGCTAACAATACCCAACAATCAGGGACAATACAAACAAAAATGGGATTATAAAGGGCTCCCAAACGATCTCTCCAAACTGGGCAAGTGTGTGATAAAATGGAAAAGTGTAGTTCTACATAAATGAGTGTGAAATGATGCACTGGGGCAGGAGAAACTCTCAATTTTACATGTACCTTGATAGGATCTGGCAGTGACTGACCAGGGAAAGAGGCTTGGTGGACAGTTTAGCTAAAGTGACCACTCAGAACATGGCAGCTGTGAAACGCACAAATTCTGCGCTGAGACTCTTTGGAAAGGGGACCACGAACGAAATATGCCGCTTCATAATGCCTTCTACAATATGGATGGCATGATGATACTTCTTGTGGGAAACAGGATGTGAGAAGAGACCAGCACTCGGGGGAAAATAATTGTTCTGTGCTGCAATCTGTAGAATTCTCCAAGAGTGGGAACACTGCCCATGCTGGCTGGGGAATGTGGACGTTGTAGTCCAAAAAACGAAACTCTGGTAGCTTCTAAAATAACGTATATGGGCTTTTAGTCTGATCAAGCAAGGTGTGGCATCTGTTTTTTTTTCTCTCTCTCTCTCCTGAATTCACCCGTGATCACTGATTTATTTGAGAAAGGGAGGAATATATTATATACAGTAAACATATACAGTGGTGCCCCGCTGGACGATTACCCTGCTTGAAGACGAATTCGCTTAACATTGAAGTTTTTGTGACTGCAAAACGATGTTTAGATGGGGGAATTTCGCTTAACGTTAATCGGTTCCCTGTTTTGGGAACCGATTTTTCGCTTTATGACAATCAACAAACAGCTGATCGTCGGGTTTCAAAATGGCTGCCGGCTGTAGAAAATGGCTCCCCACTGTGTTAGGGATGGATTTCTAGCATTACAGGGACCAGAAAATGGCCGCCGTATGGAGGATCTTCACTGGACAACCAGGTATTTCACTCATTGGAACACATTGAACGGTTTTCAATGCATTTCAATGGTTTTTTTTATTTCGCTTGATGACGTTTTCACTCTACAGCGATTTCGCTGGAACAAATTAACGTCGTCAAGCGAGGCACCACTGTATTTTATAGATCTTTGCCATCTGTTCCCCCTAATTTGTCATTAGCCCCTCAGACAAAGCCCACACACAAGTGTCAGCTTTTTACCCGGGAAGCCCTGCCCCACCCCCCTTGATTATTCTGGTCAAGCTTCTGAGCTTCTCATAGTCTATGGACAACTGGACCGGCTAGATAGCTCAGTGAGTAATGTGTCTGGCTGTGGAGTCCGAGATCAGTAGAAGAGCCAGAGTGTGTAGCTCTGGATGAACTGCAAAGTCTGAGGGTTGCCTCCGGAAGAAGGGAATGGGGAGCCGCTTCTGAGTACAGTACTTGCTATCTAGAAAACTCTGGAAAGGATCGTTGTAAGTCAGAACATGATGATGGCACATGATGATGTTGATGAACAACTGGGGGTGGGAGGTGCCTATGTTTTAAGGTTCTGCTCCTTGCAGTTCTCTTTATGGGATGCTTCAGCTACACTTGGAATTCTACTAAGCCACTGCTGCAGGAACAGAAGGGGAAAAACCTCCCAAATACGCCCGGTGCATGTAGAGATGCATTTTTCACTGGCCCACCAACTTAGCTGGTGCTTTGTGGGCCTCCACGTTAAGAGATTCTCGGCAGGCAAGAGGGCCCTGGGTGTGGGAGGTGACTCTTCCACATCTGTTCTGTAGAATTCGTGTGGCGCACCCTGTGGAATGAGCTCTTTGATTAGCATCAGTGAGGATTTTAATTTGGCAGCTAATGCTTCCTTGGCTCGCGGCGCTCAGACTCGCAAGAGGCCCTAGAAAGCAAGGCACGCATCAGTAAGCATTTCTTCATCAGCACCACAGGGCTCTCAATACTCACGCTGCACCCAATTCCCAGTTACTGGACTGAGAAAGTTTGGATAAAGCCCCTGTGGTTTCTCGATTCTGTTCAAGACTTTGCGGATGTTCATCACCTAGAGAAAATGAGAGAGAGAGAGAGAGAGAGAGAGATTTCTCGATTCTGTTCAAGACTTTTCGGATGTTCATAACATAGAGAAAAAGAGAGAGAGAGAGAGAGAGAGAGAGAGAGAGAGAGAGAGAGATCATATACATGTACTCATCTCCTTTTGTCCATCAACACATACAATTCTTTGAAAAGTAAAAACAAATCACCCAACAAATGTTTAAAAACTACGAGCTGCCAAGATTAACCTCACTATACGGGGCACCACTGTACTGGAAAGCCGACACTGCCCTCGGTTTCTGAATCTATACATTTCAAAGACAGTATTTCTATTTGTATTTTGTGTTTTCCATTTCTCCCTAGTGGCATTTGTTTTCTTTCTTGTAATATTTGTACACTTAACTGTTCTTAGCTTTAATATTTGCCTTTTAGTGATGTAAGCTGCCTCTTTATACACACTGTTCTTAGCTTTAAATATTGTCTTTTAATGAGGTTAACCACCATTATATACTCATAGTTTTCAACTATTATCTTTCAATGTTGTAAGCTGTCTTGGGTCCTTTTCTCAAGGAGAAAGGCAGGGTGAAAATATTTTAAATAAAATAAATATAGATAAGGGCCCAGGATTGTCTTGTTAAAGCTCAGCCGTTTGGGATTTGCTCCCTGCCCGGCCAGGAGAATACCTGGGAATATTCAGTGTACACTAAGAAGTCTTCCATAACAGAAGACAAAATAAACTAAATAGTACACAAAGACCAACTCCTAATACATTTTAGAGGTTGTTAAAATAATTTTTAAAGCCACTTCTGCAGCCCCAAATCCTGGAAGAAATGATAAACGATGTTCATTGTTGGATTTGTATGAATCATTTATTTGGTTTGTATTTTTGCCAAGATGTTCAGAGCAGCCTGTTGAAGGAGGGCTGATGAATGTCATCCACTTTCCCTTTTACAACAACCTTTTAAGGTGGATTGAGCCAAGCGAATGTGGCTGATCTTGTGAGTTCCGTGGTTGGGAAGTGATTTGGGGTAAGGTTCTGCTGGTCGAGGTCAAACCACCCCTTTCATATTATCATTAAACTAGTTTTCATGGCCATTTATAGGATGAAGACAAGGCAATTTGGTTTACCACCAGGCTGGATTAGTGAAATGAAATGTGCAGAGTGTTAGATCTGCTGGATAGCTGAGCGGTTTAGGTATGGTTGGAAGTTCAATTCCCCACTGCCGCCTCCCTGACACAGTTGGATTCGATGATCCATAGGGTCCCTTCCAGTTCTGCAGTTCTAAGGTAAGGATGATTTAGGCCACAGGAAAAGAAGGGAGGAGAAACTTCCCTTCATTAAGAGCACTCTTGTCAGGGGAACGAGACCTGTCCTTGTTGATGACTATCCACATGGGATAACACTGAAGAACATTAAGCACAGCCTTGCTTGACGAGGCCAGAAAACGCCTGGTCTACCATGTCACAGCAACACAACAGCCAGGCAGCCATCTGTAATGGCTCAGGGTCAGGAACAAGATGGCAGGGATGAGGCAGGTGTTGCCTTCAAAGGCTTCGGGATGGCAGTTCCATCAACCCAAGCTAATATAGCCAATGAGGAAGGATTATGGGAGTTGTAGTCCAGCCACTCCTGAAGGGCAATGCATTTCTCACCTCTTGGGCTACTGTTTATCTCTGGCACCAAAGGATATTGTTGTGGCTGTTTTGACCGGTGGTTAAGATGAACGGCCACCAAGAGAACAATCCTCTACAGGGCATCTCTGTGACGGATGCTGTTGGCCGGTCAATCTCATGTACCAGCTTCTGCACCATTACCTCAGCGCCATCAAGGAACATGCTGGAGACTTACAACCTGTCCTAAGCAAAGCAGAGGGAAGACGCAGAGAGGGGGCCCGGCAGCCTCCTGCTTACCTCCTGAAATGTGAAATGTCTAATTGGTTGCCAAGCAACTGGGTTTGGTGGCTTATAAATTACCTCTGTATTTTCCTTGTTTACCCTTTGCTGTGGTTTCTATGGCTAGATGAATGGTAGTTTTCTAGGCTCAGGTGGCCAAGAAGTAAAGGCCACCACATCAGAGGAACATGGGAATCAAATATCAATAATAAGCAAGCTAGTTGCTAATTTTTGCTGCTGGTCCCTTCAAGGCAAGTAAGGAGATAACTAAGGCTGCTAGGATAATGGCCTCAGAGGGCATTCTGGGTACTTGAGTTGCTTTGTGACAGGAAGAAAGCAATCAATTGGTGCTCCTCTGTAGGTCCCCATTAATTTCAATGGGTTTTGGATGGCTTAAATCCCCTAAGGAGCAATTTTTCACAGCTGAAAGTAGATTTCTATCAATTTCAAGTTTCTTTCTCTTTTTTTGAACTTTTGGGGGGATCTTGGGGAGTTTGCTCAGCCCCCACGGGGTTCCCTGGACCCGCCACGGTGTAAGACAACTAACCAAGGTCAGCTTTAATGAGCTGAAACATGGATTCCAGCCACACCATCATAACATACAGACTGAACTGAAGAACACAGCATATTAGATGCATCTGAGCGCAGTCGGTGAACGGCGATGCCCTATTAAAAAGGCCTGTTAAGTCTCCAGCTACGAGCTAATGAGCTGATCTGCTTTTTGGAAATTTGCTTCCTTTTGGATGGCTGCCTGCATCCACCCCTGCGGGCTTTGTTTTTCTCATCCCGCGCCCGCTTTTATCTACAGCATGTTCTGGGTGGGAGAATCTATTAACGAGCCAGTTCTCACAGTTATTGATTGACTGGACTTCATAACGGCATGGAAATGCAATTAGCCTTGGGGGAAGAGCACTAGAGGATCTCTTACGCCTTCCTGCCAAGCCCCGAGTCTTCCCTGCACAATGCAGCGGGCGGCCTGAGAAAGACACACTCGTTTAATCCGGGGTTTAACAATGAGATTTCATTCCCCCAATCTTTTAAAGTGTTCCTGCTAAATATTTGCCTTCTTGCTTTTTTCAAACCCTCCGGCCTCTTTTCTTGTATCATTTCCTCCTCCACCAGGCTCTTTCCCCATTCACTTTGTTTTACAGTGTGTTTCATCATGCTTGTGTTTGTTCTCTTTCCATTACTCCACTCCTTATCTTTTCCATTCAGTTCCCTTGGTTTCCTACTTCCCAGCTACTTTTCCGCCTTCCTTTTGCTTCGCTCTTGCTCTTGTCTAGCTTCCTCGGATTATGACGATGATAAAAAGCACCCTATATACAGCACTTAACAGTAATACAAATGAAAAAAAAAAACAAGACATGATTCATCAGGACTTAGTGAGATTTCAGCAGACAGCGCTCTTGCTCTTGTCTAGCTTCCTCGGATTACGACGATGATAACATCATCATCATCATCAACAACAACAATCATCATCATCATCGTCTTGGAATTGCAGAGCTGGAAGGGATCCTATAGAATCATTGAGTCCAACCCGTCAGGGTGGCAGAGTGGGGGAATCAAACTCTCAACCTCGGGTTCCGCAGTGAGAGACCTAAACCACTCAGCTCTCCTACCTTGCTAGCACTAGACCCCGGGAACAGTCTGTACTTGGGCTGTTTTACTGGAATTATGGGGGGGAAATATTCGCTCTTGCTCTTGTCTAGCTTCCTCGGATTACGACGATGATAACATCATCATCATCATCAACAACAACAATCATCATCATCATCGTCTTGGAATTGCAGAGCTGGAAGGGATCCTATAGAATCATTGAGTCCAACCCGTCAGGGTGGCAGAGTGGGGGAATCAAACTCTCAACCTCGGGTTCTGCAGTGAGAGACCTAAGCCACCGAGCACTCCTATCTTGCTAGCACTAGACCCCGGGAACAGCCTGTACTTGTGCTGTTTTACTGGAATTATGGGGGGAAATATCGGTGCATTTCATGTCATGAGTGACATTTTGTGCTGATCTAATTCTGCTGCGCTGGAGGGGCTCATTCTGATTCTAACTGGAACAATTTGTTTCCTTCAGAGTATTCTAAGGGATGGAGGGCGGAGGGGTGAGAATGAATGATGGATGTTGTGCGCTGTTCATCGTTCGGGCACCCAGAGAAGCACAGGCCAAAACCTCAAGTTAAAATCTCACATTATAGTAACATGCAAGAGGAAGTAACTCCTTAGGAATTGCAATAATCCCCTGAAGAAGGGAGTTTCTTAATTGCACGTGCCCAGAGCTATGAATGGCTTGCAGCGTGCATCTTCCTTCATTAACTGCTACTTCTATGTACGTGCCTGGAAACCTTCTTGGGAGCAAGGAGCGGTTGCTACGCAGCTCCTCCTTAAAGCACCAAAGTCATGCATGTGTAAAGAAAGAGTGTCTCTGGATTTTGCAAACGTATCACCTGTAACCTCCTCATTATGTCAAAAAGATTGGTGTGAACAGGAGTGCCTTGTTTTGCTGGCAAATGGTCAGAGGATTCCCTGACCCCACCCCGGTGTAACTAAGCTGCTTAACCCTGATGAGTCTCTGGGTCTCAGCTCTACAGCAGAGGCAGGGCGCTGACACCAAATGCTCCCCAGCTCCCCATGGCAAGCTCATCTGAGACTCTCTGTCACAGCCTTGAGCTGACATTGCAAGAATGGCAGAAGAAGCTGTGAGAAGGTTAGCCCCAATGCCCGAGGTCTGTGCTTCTCCTTTCTGCATAGTGCCACCTCCAGGGCTTGGACATTTTTTAGAATATCTCACCAGTCAGTCAAAAATTTCACCAGTCAGCATGACCGGACGATAGCCCTGCAATTTATTGGGACTGGGAATCACTGATGTATACCCTCAGACTTGGGTTGCTTTATTATCTGTGGGGTCATGAAGCTTGTATTTTGAATGCCTTTCTTTCTCCAGCAAAAATAAAACTGAAAGCAAAAGTGCCCGGCCTCTTAAAGAGTAATGGCTGCAATTTATTGGGACTGGGAATCACTGATGTATACCCTCAGACTTGGGTTGCTTTATTATCTGTGGGGTCATGAAGCTTGTATTTTGAATGCCTTTCTTTCTCCAGCAAAAATAAAACTGACAGCAAAAGTGCCCGGCCTCTTAAAGAGCCATGGCTCCCTCCCATCCCAGAATGTGTCCTCGTTCGGTTGAAATTGGGAGCAGGGAATCTCCATATTCTCCAGCATGGGACAACTCTACATTCTCCTGCAGAGCTATATCTCTACATACTGCTCAAACTCTCTTCTCGCGAGAAGAGGGCAGTTTTCCTTTTGCAATGGGAGCGGGGAGGGGAGGACTGCAGGATTAGAGATAGCGAGACAAGCAGAGGGGAAGGAGGCAGGCAGGGAGGAAGCTGTGACTCATTGAGCAGCATTTTTCACTTGTCATGGACAAGTGGATGAGTGCATTTTTCAAGCCCTGGCCATCTCCCATGCTTCCACCACCTCAAGCACAGACCAGCTGCAGGCAAATGTGTAGAGAACAGGGAAGTACTTACCTTGTCAGTATACACAGGATTTCCAGAGAGCGCTGAGAGGTGCAGAAATTCTAAGTGAAGGCTGCCAAATTCGGCTAAAATGCTGCTTCCTGCAGATGCCCACCCCCAGCTCCAGCTCATCCCACTGTAGGGGCAAGAGAAGACAATGTTCATTCATTAGAAGACCAAACCGAACCGATACCCATGTGAAGCAGAATATCAGAAGGATTCCCCCTTTGGCACATTTGGGCTTCCTCTCTCCTGCAGTTCCTTGAATGCTCAAGTGCATAAAGGTAAACGAAGATCCCTCCAAGACCTACCACCTCCCCTTGGAGGGAGGCTGCCAATCTGAGTAGACAGGAGATGGTTAGGTGGGCCTGATTTTGGTGACTCCGATGGGTTACTTTTGGACTGATGCTCCCACTGGTCACGCTGGCGGGGGTTCCCAGGGATTGTAGTCATAAAAAGTAGTCGCTTTTCTTGAGCTCTGGGCAACTTATTATGTTGCCCAAACTGATACAGAAAACAGCCCCTGAAAGAACGAGACCTGCATCTAAGCCAGGATTGCTCAAATGTGGTCAATTTTCCTTGCTCCACATACGTCAGCCTAGGGTGACGGAGCATTCGGTGGCCATGCTTACAGATCATGATCAGCCAGGGTTCTGCGACATCCTGGCTTATCCAGCATGAGCTGGCTCAATGCTCTCCTTGCAGTGGGAGGAGTAAACAAACCATGATGGTTCCATGTCATGGCATGTTTACCATGACACCCAGACCTGTCAAGGAATTGAACTCTGGTACGTTTCTCCTGCAACAAGGCAGAAAAATAGCATCTAATTTATTTTCAGGGCACAGAACAGTCTTTTGGCTGGCTCCAGCTGAGTTTCATGGTTTAACAAGACACAAATTGCTCAGAACTCCGGCTTCTCATGAGTTCTGAAAATGTGCCTCTGATCTGAGGTAGAGCAAAGAGGCCAATATCTACCCTCCCCACAGCGGTTTTTCTGATTTAAGTCCTTTCCACTTTTGCCACACATTTTAAAGAGGGATCGGGCACCTCTTCGGTCTCCTTCGAATGGATCAGCTCTTGTTTTCTTTTACAGATCTTTCTGCTATTTGGCAAGCACTTGTGGCTGAAAGGGAACAATACGTTACAACTAGAGTAGGCCCATTAAATCAGTGGGGATTTGGTGAGTCAATACCTATGTAAGTTCCATCAATTCAATGGGCCTGCTCTGGTTGCAACTGACAACTTGATTCCAACCTACATTTCTTGTTTTCTGGTTAGTATGGATTTTAAGCCTTGCTGCAGCTACGACTGGTCAAAAGGGAAGGTCATAAATGTTTTACTTCATATCTAAGGAAAAAAAATGCAAGTTAGGAAAGCATATTGACTGTGACTGGTATCATTCATCCATTTGCTCCACAGGCATTGCAATCAAAGCAACAGTGGAGAAGGGAGAAGCATCTTCCTTCCTTCCTTCCTTCCTTCCTTCCTTCCTTCCTTCCTTCCTTCCTTCCTTCCTTCCTTCCTTCCTTCCTTCCTTCCTTCCTTCCTTCCTTCCTTCCTTCCTTCCTTCCTTCCTTCCTTCCTTCCTTCCTTCCTTCCTTCCTTCCTTCCTTCCTTCCTTCCTTCCTTCCTTCCTTCCTTCCTTCCTTCCTTCCTTCCTTCCTTCCTTCCTTCCTTCCTTCCTTCCTTCCTTCTCCAGAGCCATCAGCACAAGGAAATGGTACAAGAATCCCCTTCACAACAATTTTGAGGATTGTGGTTATAGCTGTGCAAAAAACTGACCACAGCAAAAGACAACAAAAGTGTTCTGGTGCAAGTTCTGAAGGTCTCTTAATTTTTCTCAATCAACATTATGTTTCAGAGGTTGCACACTTTGTTACAAACAACTCCAGTCTCAGGACTTCAGAGTGCTGTTGCAGAGCATCTTTCCCCTGAAATCCCCATGGAACAGTCAGCTGGAGCCAGTCCCTAAAGCTGCTAGAGACCAGCGCATGTAGTCGATCTGTGTCTCTAACTTTGGTTGAAATGCTACAGCTTGGCCCAGTGAGTGGCAGTAGAGTAGGCCCATTAAATCAGTGCTGATTTAGGAAGTCATCTCCTCCACAGGTTCTACTAATTCAAATGGGCCCACTCTAATTGCCACTTACATACATGTATGAAGTCAAAGTAGAGCACACTCATTTGAATCAAAGGAACTTATCTACTAATTCAAATGGGCCCACTCTAATTGCAACTTACATACATGTATTAAGTCACAAGTGGAGCACACTCATTTGAATCAACGGACCTTATCAAAGGAGCTAACTGGCCAAATCCCCACTGATTCAATGAGTCCACTCTAGTGTGGCTTTCTACATTAAGCAACAGAATTTTGGCCATTGTGTGATGAATACAGAGGGGTGTGCATGCGTTTCTCTCTCTCTTCTCTCTCTCCCCCTATGTCTATGAGTGGGAGTGCAGAGTAGATGGTTACGGAGTAATCGGTTTCCAATGCATTGTAGGTCAATGGAGACTCGACCTACAGACTTTTCGACCTGCAGCCACCGTTCCAATATGGATCAATTCCGTAAGTAGAGGGTCCACTGTAACTCACCAAATCTCCACTGATTCAATGAGTCCACTCTAGTGTGGCTTTCTACATTAAGCAACAGAATTTCAGCCATTGTGTGATAAATACTGAGGGGTGTGCATACATCTTTCTCTCCCCCCCCATGTCTATGAGTGGGAATGCAGAGCAGATGCATTTTTCCATAATGTTTCCTCCATTCTGATGTTGCCATCTAGATGGACTCAGAAGGGAAGAGCTACAGGGATTTTGACCCTTGACTCAATCCAGACCAAGAGTCTCCACCGACTGCAGCCCTCCTGGCATCAGCAACAGAAAGCTTATCAAGGCTCTGTCATACAGGACTGGCACATTGGGTTTGAATAGGCAGCTGACAGGCTATGCAACCAAACAGATAGCCTGGATAGCTCAATGAGTTAGCATTGTGCACACCAGAAGAGCCAGCCTGTGTGGCCTTGGGCAAGCTGCACAGTCCCAGGGAAGTGAATGGAAAACCAGGCTATGCAACCAAACAGATAGCCTGGATAGCTCAATGAGTTAGCATTGTGCACACCAGAAGAGCCAGCCTGTGTGGCCTTGGGCAAGCTGCACAGTCCCAGGGAAGCGAATGGAAAACCACTTCTGAGGGTTTTCAGAAATCATAACTGACTTGACAGCACACGGTTATATTAATGTATGTGCTACAGCTCAGAAAGGTGCCTTCTTTGGACTACAGTTCCCAGAATGCTCCATGCTAGCTGGGACCTTCTGGGAGATATACAATGGTGCCTAGCTTGACGACGTTAATTTGTTCCAGCGAAATCAAGGTAGAGTGGAAACGTCGTCAAACGAAATAAAAAACCCCATTGAAACACATTGAAAACCATTCAATGCGTTCCAGTGGGCTGAATACCTGCTCGTCCAGCGAAGATCCTCCATACGGCAGCCATTTTCTGGTGCCTGTTAAGCGAAAAAGCCTTCCTAAAAACAGTGGGGGGGCCATTTTCTTCAGCCAGCGGTCATTTTGAAACCCACCAATCAGCTGTTTGCTGATCATCATAAAGCGAAAATCGGTTCCCGAAGCAGGGAACCGATCATCGCGAAGCGGAAAAACCCCATTTAAACCATCATTTTGTGATCGCAAAAACCTAATTGAACAGCGATTTCCTTGTTAAGCGAGGCAATCGTTAAATGAGGCACCACTGTAATCCAAAAATAGTAACTTTGCAAAACTCTGGCAAACTCACATGGAATTCAGACCCAAACACTCAAGGTCCTCAAGTAATTCCCTATTTCCTTCTGTCTTCAAGGAAACGCTCTGCACAGCCCCTGTTCTTAAGACATTGTAGGGATCATTACAGTGCTAAGACGTTGCTCCCCAGAGGTGGAAACTTTCGTTAGCTTTGCCGTCTTTCTTGCCTGCATCCATCTCAGCAAAATACTCCCTTGATTACCGCCTTTTTACAATCATCTCAGCCTCTTCAGCCTCGCACAGCAACCTATATCTTTAGGGCCTGATCTGAAAATAGCCTCTACAGCTGGCAGCTTGGGAGACGCTCAGTCATTTTCATTTCAGGAGAGATGCAGGCCTGATTTCTGTGATCTCTTGATTAGCAGGATCATGGGTGGCAGATTGCTGTTAACGTCTCCCTCCCTTTTAGATTTAAAGGGAGGATTTAAAGTTGCTACAATTGAGGGAAACTGCAGAGAGCACTAAACAGTTTCTGCGCCCAACTTAAAGGAACTGGGGCTTCCCGGGGATTAATAACAAATATACTCATTCACTGAAACGCAAGCTCTTTTTCAGAGAAATGTGGGGCAGGTAGGGTGTCATTTGGGAAAACGTCAGCCTTGCTTTTCAGGAGCAGAATTATACGTCCAGTATGAGCCACCAGCTTCCAAAAAGGAATGCAGGATTAGACAAATTCACGAAGAGTGGGGCTAAAAACACCAGCGAGCCCAAATAGTAAATGGGGTGTCCATGTTCCGATCGTCTACTCCTGAGCATCAACGCTGTCAACAGAGGGTAGCGGTTGCCTCCGCACACTGCTCACAGGTAGAGTTTCAAAACATTATTTTTCGAACAATAATTCCTCACCTCCTGGGGAATGTTTGCTCATGCAACTGACAAAAATGTGTGTCTCGGCGACATGCCTGGTCATGTGCCTGAGCATGTAATCGAGGTGAATCCGGCCACCTTGTCAACTAGCCACAATTTTGGCCATAAGAACAGACTCGTGGGAAAAGACAATAATGCGAGGCAAAATGGAAGGCAGTAGGAAAACAAGTCAGGGAGGGGGACTCTGTGGAGAATCAGACTTAAGCCACACCAGAGACTCAACCCGGACAATTTGGGTTGTTTTTTTAATGACGCAGACTTGACTCGCATCTCAGAACCCGCCCACCCTTTTTTCCCCTCTGCGGAAAAGAGCTTGTTTTTAATAGGGACTTGGAATTGCGGCTTGGGACTTGGGACATGCTACCAAAGACTCTGACTTGGGACTTGGTACCACAAAGACTCTGACTCTGACTTGAGACTCAGATTCATAGACTTTTCAACATCCCTGAAAGAAGGAAAACTTAACCTGAGGGGGATTAACTCGATCCAGGCAGCCGTAAGCCTTTCCCTTGCAAGAGTTGGGCAGGGCTTTTATTGACACGAACTTTTGGAGGCCACGAATTCAGTGGGCTGCTCTAAACTGGAAGGAACTGGAAGGTCCATAACATACAACAACCCCACACAAAGGTTCTGGGGAGATGCAGGTGATTTAACGCTCAAGGTCCTTTACAGCGCCAACAGTGATGATATTTGGCAGAACGTTGTAACAGACAGCGGGTGCGTTGTGTGCAGAGATACATAGGCCAGGTTATGCATTTGAAGCAGATGAAGATTTAGTTGCAACTTCAAGAATTCACACCTTTGCTCTGGCATTCCCTGAACGGATCGTCCTCCAACTCCATCCAACTTTCTTTCTGCTCACCTCCACTCCTCTGTGCATTGAGATTCAGACTGGATGCCTGAAGCCAAGCCCTCAGGCCTTCCCACTTGGTTTCTGTATCCCTAGCTCCCTGTACCTATGCTAGAAATGAACATTAAATTAAGCGCACAAATGTTGGGATCAGCATTTTAGAACCTTTTGAAAGCCATATTTAGGATATCGGTTGCTTAGCAATCCATTCTCTGAACCACTACAGTTAAAGCAAGATTAATAGGGTCAGGCTCCTTGGGCCATAAATCCTGGTTGCTTTGTCTCCGATAACAAATCTCAGTTATGCTTTTAGATATTGCGAAGGCGTTTCGGAGGGTCCTAATGGGAGGCCATCTCCCATGCGCTCCACGCCATCTGGGGGATTGCCCCCAACGGTAAGCCCTAGAAGTGGGGCACACCACTGACAGTCAACAGACTTTTGGGTGGAAGCGGCAGACAAGGAAGCAACGGGAGGGTCGTGCCCAGAAGGTCCCAATCCCTTTCGGAAGGGATGAAACAAAGGAGTTGGAAGGAGGGAGATCCCAAGGGTGTAAAACTGCGGAGAGCAAAATGGCCGATGGACCACTGAGGAGGAAGGGGAAGGAGGTGGGAAAGTGGGGAGATCTTGGTGCTGGAGTGGCAAATATCTGCCAATCCTGCCCCAGTGACCCCCACCCCAATACAGCTGCGAGGGTGGAGGAGGCAAAGACAGTTCAATTGTCTCTTAGAAAAGGAACTTTAAATGCTGGTCATCCAGCAAATCTTTCTTCCAAACCACGGGGAAGAGGTGAGGTCGGGTTCTGAATCCACAGAGACGAAAGAAGGAGGGAAGGTGAGGTAACCGCTCGCTACCTTTGAATATTAAGGCTGCCGAGAGTCTGGCTGATTTGGGTTGATCAAAGGAGGGCTTAAGCGATTAGGACAGCTTGGAGATACCGTGTTGGTATAGTTAAAGTTTGTGAGGAAAAGAAGTGCCGATTTCTGCTTTTATGCCTGGACTTGTAAGATCGACTGACATCCCTTTCCCCATGGAGGATCTGGGAGCACACACGGCCACCGAAATCTGACATTCGTGTATGCAGATTCTGTATGGCCTTTTGTATCTCTGTTTTTTTGCACTGATTTCCCTCCCCATCAGACCTTTGATTGAGATCATTGTCATACTTACCATCCTCCCTCTGGGACTACATCGCTGTGTGCACTCACTTAGCCCTTGAACGGTCTCTCTGATCTCTAATCAAGGAGTATTGTTCTTTCAGAGACCGTCACGACTCAAGAAGCCTCCAAATATTTCAATGGTAGCCAAGGTAGCCCGGAGAGTCATTAGACACTTGCTGGGCAGTTCTAGAAGTTGTAGCCTCCCCCCCCAAAAAAAGGATTTCTCCCCCCAAGCTCTCCTCCGTTGGGGTGTGGCTCCTTAACAGATTCTCACAGGTTCCCAAGGTAAACCAGGTGTTCTTGGACTGCAACTCCCAGAAACCCCAACCAGTGAAGCTACTGGTGAAGGCCTCTGGGAAATGCGGTCCAAGAACCCCTGAGTGATCCAAGGTTGGGAACCACTGCCATTGAGAGCCACAACCGTTGAAGGGAAAGGGGTTCCTTCCCAACCCCTGGTCAAGAGCAGAGGTGTTTCCACAAATGATTACGGAAGGTACAGTGGTGTCCCGCTTAACGATTACCCCGCTTGACGACGAATCCGCTTCATGACGATGTTTTTGTGATCGCTATTGCGAGGATTTCACTCTACAGCGATTTCACTGGAACGGATTATCCTCATCAAGCGAGGCACCACTGTATTATTGTCAGTGGTTAGCTGCTGACAAGAGTTCCGAATTATTAAAAAAAGTAGTGCCTGAGCTTTTACAAAAATAGCATCCAGAAAAAGACCCACACACCCTTCCATTTTTAAATCCGCCCCTTCTGTATCTGGGGGTAGGATGAGGAATGCAGGCCAGAGGACGAATGGGAGCTGGCAGGTGAAAGGGAGATGCCTCTGAAAACTGCTTGCCAAAGAACCTAGGTATGATGTGAGGCGGGACTCTGAGGGGAGAAAGATTTCTCCCCTATAATACTTAGCTGTGTGGGTACACAAAGATAGCGCTCAGGTGATTTAGCATAAAAGGGCTGAAGCTAAACTGACTGAAGTGTTTAGAACTGAGGCTGAACAATAGCAAATGCTCCAGTATTATTTCGTTTTAGTCCGAAACATCAATACCCCTTGGATAATGGGAGTTGTAGTCCCACCAACACATCAAAGAGTGTTTGACTGGCGAAAGCTGGTAGAGGCCCATTTAGAACCGGAGTAAACAACCATGACTGGCCATGAAATTTAGTTTAGGAGAAATTTAGTCATAGAGGCAAAGGCTGCAAGAACTCAGCCATAGCCCCAAACGATGACTGAAATTTCTCAATGACAGATAGAGGAATGGGAGTTGTAGTCCCACCAACACATCAAAGAGTGTTTGACTGGCGAAAGCTGGTAGAGGCCCATTTAGAACCGGAGTAAACAACCATGACTGGCCATGAAATTTAGTTTAGGAGAAATTTAGTCATAGAGGCAAAGGCTGCAAGAACTCAGCCATAGCCCCAAACGATGACTGAAATTTCTCAATGACAGATAGAGGAAGGGGATAAATTGCAGTGGAAGGAGCCCCATAACTTCTAACTTTAACTGTCTCAGGCCAGCTCCTAAAGGGAAAGATGGATCTCTAGTCTGATCCAAAACATCTTCTTATCCTAAATCAGAGAAGCCACTGAGGGCAGGCCAAGGGGTCAATTTTGGGCACCTCCAGACCCCATTGTGGGCTGCACCATCCTCTCTTACTGAAGAACTGGCCAGCAACCCACTTGTAGTCTCACAGAACATCTTTTTAAAAAAATGCAAAACAAGGTACGTCTCAGGCAACTGCCTTGATTTAATGGAGAACCATGCTTCCTACGACACCGTTCTCCATGGTTTTCAGAATGAAAAGTGAAAATTCTTTGGGTGAGGGACCTCCAAGGCCCATAAAATAAGACAAGGGTCTGAACCGTATCGCCTGAGGAACTGCATTAGTTAAAGATGGCAGAGTGACGATATGTGCCTTGCCTGCCCAGGTTTATGACCCCCCTCGGGATACCCGTCGGCGTGTTGAAGGCG